AAGGGTTAAGGGTTTCGACACACACACACTCGCACAAGGCAGGCATGGCAATGAGTCTCCGAGCTTTAGGGTTTTAGGGTTTAGGGTTTCCAGACTCTGTTTATTCATACGGTTATCATTACTATTATCATAATGATAACAACAAACATAAAAACTAACATCACTAGTATTGTTATTATTACTATGAATATTACAATTCATCGTCAACTCACACCGGGTTTAGGGTTTAGAGTTTGGGGATACAGCCCATCCCTTAGACGCAAACATACACAAGCCTAACTTTAAGGAATACATCCCAGACCCTTTCTTTATTTGGGGTTACCGAGACATGGGCTCCTACGCACTCGACCTTTTAGTTTCTTGGCACTCGCAGCACAAAGGGTTTCCGAAAGGTCCACATGAAGGGTTTACAGGGGTTGATGACACGCTGGAGTCTCTCTTTGACTAAGTAAGACAACTCGGTATCCCAGAGCCCGTGATCGCAACAATTCCCATAAGAGAGCGTCCATTTATTAAGCCCAGAAGCGCTAGCAGCTTTGACAAATCGCCGTCTTCATTGAGCCAGCGCGACCTTGGTTGATCCAACTTTGGGATTCAGAGAAATCCGGGTGCCCGAATGTAGGGACCATGACAGTATGGATCCTACTATCTCGGGTCTGCTTTAGGTTCCCGTCATTTTTCCGAAACTTCAAACCTGTTGTTTAGCGTCTATGAATCACGGGGGGAAAGGTCAGCATTCCATACGGCAGGGTCAGGGAAGGGATTCTTGTTTCCTTGGCGTGTCAACATCCTTGGTAGAACTTTTCCCCGAGTGGCTGCATGTCTACGACAGAAGTAGATGAGTAGATTAATTAGATGTTGGCGTGGGCAGGGCACAGAAAATGAAGTGCGATCACAGCGACGGCAAGAGGTTCTTAATGCAACTGCACGCACCAGATAATGAAGGCAACCTCGCTGGATATTTGGAGCTACTGGTAAGCTAGTTTCTGGCTCTCCTTCATGCAATGCCGCTCCTGCCGAGATCCACCAAGGTGCTCAAAGGTCGAAGACAACTCCTGTGCTTGCGAGCCGAGAACATCCGGTGTCGAACGTGGCTGCTTCTAGTCTTGTTTTTTACTTTTTATGGTCCACCTCGGGTTAGCAACCCTGGCATGGGTTAAAGGCAGCCTGCCGCCGGCTCCAGCCCGACGCCATTGCAACCATGAACGAACACGCAACAGGCATCGTGTACTCCGGATATCCCTGCAACGATCTGTAGCAGGTTCCGGTCGGACCTGGAACGGTGCAGTTAGGCTTCAGGACCATGGAGACAAAGCACCACGAGACGAGCTTTCCACTAAAACCTGCGAGCCACCAACACTTTGAACAAGCTGCTTGCCGCCTTCTTGGCGTAAGATCGCTTGGTATAGTTATAATGGGGAACCCCCCCAAAATTGTATTGGTAGTTATTTAGGCTGTGCCGGGTGAAGTCTTTGCGGTTCGGGCAGGGTTCATCAATCACTTGGAGGCAGTTTTCACCTGTTAAGCAGGACAGGCGACGTGGTTATGGACAGCTATAGAGATTATCATGGGGACTAAAAGGGGATCCTAATGAGACTATTAAGTCACTAAGCAGTGCTTCCAGGCAAGGTGGTACTATGTACTATATACGTCATACTAAATACTTTATACTATATGATAGAATATGTAGTAAAGGCTAACAATAGACAGTATGTACTAACCTGGTGTATATATGTAATTATATGTATATGTCTGTGTTAGCATGTACATATTCAAACAAATAAACATATGTGTATATATATATAT